GCTGACCTTGAACTGGTGGCCCTCCTGCCTCAGTCTCCCTAGTCACTAGGATTACAGGTATGGCCACCTATACCCTGAGGGATTTTTCCTTTAGGTAGGCCTGTGATTCCTTTAGATAGGCCTATAAAGCTCAAAGTTCATGGAACCACAGTTCTTAAATTTGGATTTAGGTCATCCTAGTCTATTGCAGAAGCATATAAAAAAATCTATCCTCGCAGGCCTCAAATTTTTCCAGCAAGTAATTATTAAAATACAATATCCAGCCAGGTGCGGTGGCTCATGCCTGTAATCCCAGCAGCTTGGACGGCTGAGACAAGGGGAATGTGAACTCAAAGCCAACCTCAGCAAAAAATCGAGGTGTTAAGCAACTGAGTGAGACCCAAACTCTAAATAAAATGCAAAATAGAGCTGGGGATGTGGCTCAGTGGTCAAATGCCCCTGAGTTCAATCCCTGGTATCCCCCCCAAAATACAATTTCCAACACGTAGCAAAAAAATAAAATAAAAAAATAAACAAACAAACACACATACACAAAAATACAAACTAGGCATACAAGTGTATATGAACCCATGACTGAAAACCAACAGAAACAATGACAATGAAACGGGGCCCAAAAAACTTGGGATAAAATTGTCAGACAGGCACTAAAACTTTACAGTATCTGATCTCCACTGTATCTGGACAGCAAGCACCACCATTATCTCTACTTACAGATAATGAAACCAGAGCTCAGAAAGCCAGAGTGATTACCTAAGGTCCCACAGTAATAAGTTGCTTGATTCCACACAGGTCTATGGCCTCTTACTGTATAAGGGGCCCTTAGAAATGGAAAACTAACAAGAAAGGTAAGAGAGTGAAGCATCGGTGTCCTCTCTGGCCCCACCTGCAGAAGCTCCAGAAGCCTAAGTTGGATTCTGCTGCAGCCTCCCACCCCGCCACCAAGAGCCACAGCATTTCAGCAATGGGAGTGGGTGAGCAGAGATGCCTGGGACTATGTAGGGGCCCATCCAGCCACCCACCCCCATGTGTTGGAGACATGCTCACGAAGGTGATGACCAGGCCTAAAGAGCACAAAAAGGGACAAAATCCTCTGATGGCAGTAGTGGCTGTCTAGGTGACAATAGGGAAATATCTATTCAAATGAAAAACCTTCTCACCTTCCACCCAGCAACCCCACTTCCCTGGGATTCACCCCACGGATCCTTCACAAGTGCAGAGATCAGGTGCAGGGACACTCACTGTGCCATCACTTAAGGTATGAAAACCGGAAAACACCACCGAGGTATCCATCACAGGCCAGCTGAATAGTCAAGTTAGAGCCTCGTTGTTATGAAGCCTTTACAAGAAATGAGGTGGGGGCTGGAGCTCAGTGGCAAAGCACATGCTTAGCACGCATGAGTCCTGGGTTCAAGCCAAAACACCAGAATAAAGGAATGAAGGAACACATGAATGAATGAAAGAAACAAGGCTCTTTGTACGAGTTGACTTTTATTTTTTTATTTTGTAGTGTCTGGATGGAATCCCAGCCTCATGCCTGCTAGGCAAGTGCTCTACTAGCCACTGAGCTACATCTCCAGCCCAGGTATTGGCGTTATTTAAAACATAGTACTATAGTATTAACTGGGTGCAGTGGCACATGCCTGCAATTCCAAGGTTTTGGAAGCCTGAGGCAAGAGAATCACGAGTTCAAAGCCAGCCTCAGCATCTTAGCAAGATCCTGTCTCTAAAGAAAATACAGAAAAGGGCTGAGGAGGGCTGGGTTGTAGGGTTGTGGCTCAGTGGTAGAGCACTTGCCTAAAATGTGTGAGGCACTGGGTTTGATTCTCTCTCTCTTATTTTTTTTTTAAAAGGAGGAGAATTTATGGATATTGGCAAGGTTCAGGATAGGGCAAGGGGAATGGGTAGTGAGGCAGAATGTTATAGAATGTCATTTTTTTTTTTTGAGAGAGAGAGAGAGAGAGACAGAGACAGAGACAGAGAGAGAGAATTTTAAATATTTATTTTTTAGTTTTCAGCAGACACAACATCTTTGTATGTATGTGGTGCTGAGGATCGAACCCGGGCCACATGCATGCCAGGCGATTGTGCTACTGCTTGAGCCACATCCCCAGCCCCTGGGTTTGATTCTCAACATCACATATAAATAAATAAAACAAAGGCCCATTGAGACCTAAAAAATATTTTAAAAAGAAAGAAAGAAAGAAGAAAAGGGCTGGGGATGTGTTTCAGTGATTAAGTGCCCCAGGGTTCGATCCTCAGTATCAAATACAACAACAAAATATAATATTAACTGAAAAAGGCAATTTGGAAACATATTTTCTACCATTTTGTTTAAAATATTTTCCGTATACACATATACATAGATATGTGTGTGTGATTCATAAAAATATTCTCAACAAACTGGAAAAGGACATATTGTATTTATGTACTGTTTGAAAAAATTTACAGTGAAAATGATTACTTTTACAAGCAGAACAAAAAGTACATGTGTGTATTTATATTTATCTCTTAATTTGAAGGATTTAAAGCCACATGCACACACTGAAGAGGAGTAGGTGCCACTCACGAGGCAGGGACACTCCCAAGACCTGTAGCCCCAATTCTGCCCACAACCGGACATGCTCTGCCTTTAGCAAGACAAGCCATGGACCTGGAAGCGACTGGACATCGTAGGGCTCACGTGTCGATGTGACTAGCTGCCAACATGGATCACACAACTCAGTTGGTCTTCTGGACCCCCAGCAGGGCCCAGTCTGGACAGCCTGAGTTCTGCCTGTGGGTAAGACAAAGGGGGCGCCAGAAGCTTGGACCCCGCCTGGGATGAGGGGCCCGTGTAGCACTGGGAGGGATTCTCTGCGATTGCTTCATAAATCTGTCTTGGCCATGCCACAGGGCAGGGGGCAGGGAAAGGTTGAAACAGAGGCTCTGATTTGGATACCAGTGGAGAAGTCAGTGGCCTGTGTGCCCCAGGCCCATCTCTCTTGGGCTGGGATCAGGTTGCTTCCCAGGCCAGGGCCCCAAACATGCACTGAAGGGATGCTATTGGATTCCAAGGACATGACTCCTGACCCTCACTCCCCAAATATGTCATGGCACATGTTGAAAGTGAATTTGGGGGCCCAATTTTAATGCACAAAATGTGACAGTCTGCAAAATGTGACAGATTGGAGGTTCTGAGGCACCTTCTCATTCTGCTTTCCAAATCAGAGCTGATAGCTGAGATTTGAAATTTCTGGGCTGGCTGGGAGGCCTTTGACCTCTATGCTCTGAAGTCATTGGTTAATGAGAACAAGCTGTTTCAGCCGGCAAAGCGTCTTTTTTTTTTTTTTTTTGGTGTGTGTGTGTGTAGTGCTGGGATGGAACCCAGGACCTTGCACAGGGTAGGCAAGCCCTCTACCACCACACTGCACCCCCCAGCTCTACAGAGTAGTTTGTAAGGGTCTAGGCTAATTAAGCATGGGATCTTAGTGGTCCCTTCAAGACCTGCACAGCTTCTGCTTCTTGCTCCACATCTTCAATCTTTCTTTCCAGACAAACCAAAGAGGGAGAAAATGCACTCACTGCTCCAGGGACGAAGGGTGAGCCAGTTTCGAGATGGTGGCCCATGTTTTGTCAAGACTGAGTTCATGCTTGACCTCCAGGATGGTAGCACTCTGCCTGGCCCTCCAACCACTTGCCTACACCACAGGCCTCTCTGATCAGCCACTTGAGTCTCTGTCCCCCTGCCCAGCTGCAGTCCTGGCTGTGAAGGACTCTCCCAGCAGGAGCTCCAATCTTAATTTCTCTAGCTGAATCTGTCTGCACAGAAAATCCCAGAACCCTCAGCCCTGCCAATTTGCTTCCCTCCAACACTGGTCTCTTGGGCATTATATATTTAACGTACCAGTTCAGAACCATGGCTTGCACTTTCCATTGCCAAGCCCAGTCACCCCCGGAACAGAGCCTTCCCTTCTTCCTGGGAACACAGAGCCATGGAGGACTTAGTCCTGCGAACCCAAGTCTGCAGCAATCCTTCTGCTAGATTCCTTGGTGAGAAAGGCCTGAAAGTTGAGTGGCTTCTGCCAAGCAGGGACAGTCTTAGCCTGGTCACAGATCAGACTATGGGAGCTCCAAAGCAATAGAAAAAGCCAAGCCACATTCAGTTGAGCCACCAAGGTGGTGGCATCAGGGCCGGTAACCATGGCAACCTTCGGCTGCCCAGCTCAGCTCTATTTGTGTATCTCAAGACTGCTTTACCCAGCGCCTGGTGTGAGCAGATTAGGCCTGTGGCACAAGCCTCCTTTCAGCCTCCTGCCCCTCCCTGGCAAAAGTCTTCTTGAGGGGGGGCCCTGCAGGTCACGTGGGCCTCTCCTGCGGCAGAGATTGTCACTGTCTCCTTCTCTCACCTGCCCAGCCTAGGAGGGGAGACTTATGAGCAGAACTCATGCTGCACCTCCACCAGCAGACCAATGTTCACGTCATGCTTTTTTTTCTTCGTGCTGGGAATTAAACCTAGGGGCACTTAACCACTGAGCCACATCCCCACCCCACCCCAACCCTTTTTAAGTCTTTTTGAGACAGGGTCTCACTTAAATTGCTGAGGCTGGCCTTGAACTCATGATCCTTCTGCCTTAGGCTCCTGAGCTGCTGGGATTACAGGTATGCCCCC